GGTTGTGGTAGTAAACCCTAAACCCTAAACCCTAAACAGGTATAGTCCATGTCTGAGGGTAGCGCTCGCACGGTAGCATCCTTTTTGCTGTTAGGGAGCTTCCGTCAAAACGGATCAGTGAACGCAGGAAGGGCACCTTAAACCCTAAACCCTAGCCCGTTTGTCTTTCGTCGACGGCTGGTTAACTTAGGCGGAAAAGGGAGCTTAACAAAAACCCTAAGCCCTAAGCCCTAAACCCTAAACCCTAACCCTAAAACCCTAAATCCTAAACCCTAAACCCTAAACCCTAAAACCCTTAGCCCGCTTATTTGAAAGGGGGGAATTTAGGAACGGCTCCGTCCCTTGGGAGCCGGTCCGGCGAGTAGGTTGGAAGGGAGAGCGGTCCCCAACACCTTTAGGGTTTAGGGTTTAGGGTTTAGGGTTTAGGGTTTAGGGTTTAGGGTTTAGGGCTTAGGGTTTAGGGTTTAGGGTTTAGGGTTTAGGGTTTGGTTTTACCTAGCCCACAAAGAACCTACCTTTTCAAGGGCTTATATAAGGAAATCATAGTATGAGACCCTAAAAATGTAGGTTTCTGAGGGTCCAGGTAGGGGTTTTGGGTTTAGGTTTCGAAGAGCATTCTTGCAAAGCATGCTTGGCAGTCGAGCTCGTAGTTTGAAGGTTTTTGTGAGTATCCAATCCTTATTCCAGCTTGGCATACCAACATGACTTTGAAATCGTGCAGTTTGTGGAGGCCGCGAACTGGCTGCCAACTTACATCAGGATCGCCACCGACGCAGGCATCAGGAAATGGGCCACCGCGCCCCGTAGCACCACTGCACCACCACCGAAGGCAGGAATGGTACCCGGGCCACCGGACCTGAGGGGTAACAGCAGCAGTCACCCGAAGGAGTACAGGCTTTCCAAAGGTTCTGCGAACACAACACAGGCGCTGATGAGTTGAGAAAGGCATGGAGTTGTGGTGGAGCCAAGCGAATGGCCATGTTTTCGCGATTCGTGCAGACGGGGTGTGTCTTGTTGTGAATCCGGGCAATGTATGTTTGGATTTTGCCTACCGCGTGCTGATGTTGCATCGTTTCTCTCAACCCCACAAGCTGCCGCAAACGATGTCCACCACTTACCGCAGCTACGGGGCCGCCAGTGAGAAATCTGGCGCTGGACGCATTAAACCCTAAACCCTAAACCCTAAACCCTAAACCCATGAATTTCACCTCATTGAGGCCGTTATCCATCGTTCTCAGGTGGAGAGGTCCAGATTGAGATTCGGTTTAGGGTTTAGGGTTTTAGGGTTTAGGGGTTAGGGGATTTAGGGTTTAGGGTTTAGGGTTTAGGGGATTTAGGGTTTAGGGGATTTAGGGTTTAGGCCATTTAGGGTTTAGGGGATTTAGGGTTTAGGGTTTAGGGGCTTTAGGGTTTAGGTG